GGCTTTCAGTTCTATCCCACAGGTTTATTTGTATATTGCTACCACCCTATTTTAACTTACAGGCTTTATACTATATTTTAATGTCTGGTTTTTCAAGCATTTTGATCACTATATTCCTTAACATTAACATTAATGGAGATTTTTATTCCGTGCTCTTTCCATGGAGAAATACATTTATGTCTCATCTCAATTATAGGTATCTCTCATATTTCGAGGCCCCATTTCAATTCATTTTTCAACTGAACAAATATTTACAGAGTGACTACTATGTCCCAGGTAATAGGCTTAATGCAGGATACGGTAATGAGCAGAGTCCCTGAGGAACACCAATGACATAATGATTTTAGTAACTGCAGTCAAGCACTTGGGTTGCCTTCAAGCTACTATTGTTCAGCATGGTCAGTAGTAGGGAGGACAACCTAGAAACTAGAGATTACTAGGCACTTCTGTGTGTTTGTTACTGTGTCAGACTGCCACAGTCTTCTAAGAGTAATGACCGCAACTTCATTTCCTCTCAAATTTCATACAGGTTCCTCTCTTGGCCAACTGTGACCTAGAACCATACAGGAGAGGGGATTTCTAGGAAACAAAGCCCGAGCTTTAGATGGGAGTAGTCACACCAAGCTGACAGAATACAATCCCAGATAGCCCGTTTTTTGTTTTTTTTTTTGCTCTTTATCCCAATCCCTACTCCCATTCACTATTATTTTCTCTCGGAAGCACACACTTTTGTCTGCTGTGGAAAACATTCTTCTTTTGATGGGGTTGTGTGATTAGGTAAGGTAATCTCTGAATCTTGAGGTCATCTGATTTGGAACTTTAATTAAATTTGCAAAATCTCTTCACTTACATCAGTACCTGGATTAGTGTTTGATTCAATAGCCAGGGATTGGGAATTGTGGGAGCACATCTTAGAATTCTGTCTACCATACTCTGAATCTGCACCTACAGTCGATACTATACAGCTTTCTAATTTTTGTCAATCTGATGTATGTAAAGTGTTCTTGAAATGCCTTCTTTTAATTTGCATTTCTTTAATTCCTATTGAGTTTGGGTATTTCTTCATATGCATCTTAGCCATTTGAGTTTTTTTCCCTGTAAATCTACTTTCCCATTTGGGGAGCAGATTATTTTCTCTTTCTTGTTTTTGCAGCAGGAGGTCCTTATATATTCTGTCCGTTAATAACTTGTTGATTTTAGATGTTGCAAATTAGTCATTTGTCTGTTAACTTTGCCTATATTTTCCTTTAATAAATAGAAATCCTTAATTTTAATATATACAAATTTATCAATTTTCAGTTTATCATTTGCAATTTGGGGCTCTTGTTAAAGAAATCCTTCCCCACTGGCATGATCACAGAGTTGGGTATCTAATTCATATATTTTATTCTTTCTTCATTACTAACAGAAATATTTAAGATTGCAGTGCTGGCTGTGGTGGCTCACACCTGTAATCCTAGGAGTTTGGGAAGCCAAGGTGGGAGGATTGCTTGAGGCCAGGAGTTCAAGAACAGCCTGAGGAAGAGTGAGACCCCATGTCTACAAAAAAATAGAAAAGTTAGCCGGGCACGGTGGTGCGAGACTATAGTCCCAGCTACTCGGGAGGCCGAGGCTGGAAGATCGCTAGAGCCCAGGAGCCTGAGGTTGCAGTGAGCTATGATGACGCTGCTGTGCTCTAGCCCAGGCGCAGCAGAGTGAGACCCTGCCTCAAAAACACAAAACAAAAAAAAGATTGCAATCCTAAATCTTAAATTTGCAATTCCAGGTTAATAGTTTTTGACTGAGATTCAAGAATTACTTTAAAGAACTGAGTTGAAAGTCATGTATCATAAAATTAACCATTTCAAAAGGTACACTTCTGTGGCATTTAGTATGTTCACAATATTTTACAACTGCCACCCCTGATGAAAAACATTTTCATCACCCCAAAAGAAAACCCCATGCCCATTGAATAATAGTTATTCCCCATTTCCCCCTATCTCCAGACCATGACTGTCTCTGGATTTACCTATTCTGGATATTTCATGTAAATCATACAATATGTGACCTTTTATGTCTGCCTTCTTTCACTTAGCATGATATTTTCAAGGTTCATTCATGTTTTAGCATATATAAGTACATATACCTTATGTCTGGATAATATATTCTTCTGTGTGTGCGTACCACATTTTGTTAATCCATTTTTCCATAGATGGACATTTAGCTTGTTTCCATCTTTTGGCCATTGTGAATAGTGCTGTTATAAACAATCATGTACAAGTATTTATTTACATACCTCATTTTAATTCTATTTTAACTTTTTAAGTAACCACCAAACTGTTTTCCCCAGTAACTGCACCATTATTGTACATTTCTAATTTCATTCCATTGTTGTCAAAGAAGATCTTTTGCATGATTTCAGTCTTTTAAATTTTATTGAAACTTGTTTTATAGCCTAGCGTATGGTCCATCCTGGAGAATGGTCCCATGCACTTGAATATTCATTGATTCATTTCATTCATTGTTGATTCATTCATTTATTTGGTTGCTATAAACTTTTTACTGTTTTCCAGAGTTCTCACAGTTGATTCTGACAGGATTTGCTTATTTTTAATAAAATTTTTTGCGGTGGGACAGGCCTTTGAAGCAACCTACCCCCAACATTTTTGCTGACATCACTCTCCGTAATTACTTCTTAAAACAAATATTTTATAATTGCCATTTAATATTCTGAAATAAAATTTATAGGTAATATAACTTAATACACACAGAAGTTTTTACAAATCAATGTAATGTCTTAATTGTAATATAAAGGAGAAATAAAAAGAAGTAATTTATAATAAAGCAGTATGAATTTCAGTATGTAAATGCTTCATATGATATTAGAAGACATAATGAAGTAGTATATTTGCACCCATTTAAATAAGTTGGATTTAGGAGATACAAGAAGATCAGAATCCATTTTGTACAAATGCTGATAAATGAAAGGCCAAAATCTAGTCATAAAGACCAGACTTTTTTTTTTATATGTATGAGGAATGAAAGAAATCACTTTAAGTAAAGTTGAGATAAAACACCAATACAAATGATAGACTAGGGAAGTGAAGGAAAGGAAAAAGTATGGTAGTCTTATAAATTTGCTGGGCCTTACTTGGAAAACAATTCTTCAGTAAATAATTACTGAAGAAATATTAGAGAATATATATTTTATTTTAAAGTCCTGACACATATCACATCAAGTATTTAGTCTTGAGTACTAAGTCCTTGGAAACAATATCCTTTCATTGATAAAGGGATTTAAGGATGGACTTCAAAAAAAAAAGCATTGATAGAATGTCTAAGACCAGTATCACAGTAAGTTTGAAAAAATAATAGGCAATTATTACAAAACTAAATCAAAAATTCAATTAGTAATTTTCACAGTACATTTTTTATTCATGCACACACCTACCTGTACATGATATTCAATATTTTTAGAATAACTAATGAAATTACATAAGATATCATGTGTTTCCATAATTCATTATTTGGTACTATGCCTGTTAAAGGAGTCTTACATCCTCTGTTACATATTTAAAATTGGCTTTATTGCTTTTACAGTAACTGCACTAGCACCTTAATATAATTTCAAATAAATGCACAGTTTGAAATACAAGAGTAAGTAATTTAGCTTCCTTCCAAAAAAAGTGGGTATGATAGTTATAACTTGATTCAGAAGCTTTCTTAATTATACTGTTTAAATTGTGTTTGTCCTCCACATAGTTTTTTAGCTCAACTCTTCTTATAAATGTTGGCTGGCTTGTTTCCTACCCATTGCAAATGGAATAATCACCCTGTCTATATTGTATGTTCATAAAAGTCTAATAGCTATCAGTGTATCTTTTAAGGATAACGTCCTAGCTGGGCCTGCTAGCACTTTGAGAAGCCAAGGCGGGAGGATTGCTTGAGGCCAGGAGTTTGAGACCAGCCTGAACAACATAGTAAGACCCCCATTTCTACCCTTCCCCCCCCAAAAAAAATTAGCCAGGTGTGATGATGCACACCTGTAGTCCCACTTGGGAGGCTGAGGCAAGATCACTTGAGCCCAGGAGTTTGAGGTTGCAGTGAGCTGTGATGATGCCACTGCACTCTAGCCTGAGCAATAGAGCAAGACTCTGTCTCAAAAAAAATAAATAAATAAAGATAGGGTCCTGCTCTTCCTACCTCTTGAGTTGCAGTGAATGTTAAATGAATATGTTTGAAAGCTTATGCTCATAAAAGTCTGTGTTAAAAACATGATTATTATTTTAATAATAATATGACGATACATATTCCAGAAGCTATTCCCTTGAGAAAATTAAGTTGCAATCATAGGTCACAGTTTTAAGAGATTATGTAATTCTTCACATTTAAAATTTCTAATTCATAATCTCTTGCCTCAGCTTGCCCCTGAATAAGAATCACTTTTTAGGTCAGGTGGGATGGCTCACGCCTATAGTCCTAGCACTCTGGGAGGCCGAGGCAGGAGAATCACTTGAGGTCAGGAGTTCAAGACCAGCCTGAACAAGAGCGAGACCTCCAGACTCCATCTCTATTAAAAATAGAAAAAATTAACCGGGTGTGGTGGCGTGTGCCTGTTGTCCCAGCTACTCGGGAGGCTGAGGAAGAAAGATCGCTTGAACCCAGGAGTTGGAAGTTGCAGTGAGCTATGATGACTCCACTGCACTCTAGCCCAGCTCTACACAAAGCAAGACTCTGTCTCAAAAAAAAAAGGAATCACTTTTTTGTGGGAAGTGTATTTTGTGACAAAAGCACTTTGTCCTTTGGTTGTTGTGTGTTTTGACAATATGGAGCAACCTTCCTGTCCTTCAGCACTTTCCAAGCAGGCTTTTTCTCTTTTAGATGTGTGCTTTATTTTCATGAGAATGACCTGTCCTTGCATAGGTTTAATTGCACTGTGATTTTTAGTTGTGGCACATATATATGAATGTGAAAAGCAAAGCATGTAATAGCTTTTTGTGGCTTGTGTTTTTTATTTGCAGCCTTCAAGCAAAATAAAGTTACCTGAGGAGAATTTCTTCAATGTTCCTGCTTTCTTAACTGTCTCAGGACAACTTCATCTAGAAGTGATGTCAGGGTACAGAATTTTCTTTTCTCTTTTGCTTTTCCCTTTTGCATTTACAGATTATAGTTAGATGAGAGTGAAATAGTACTTCCCTTCCCATGCACAAGGCTAAAAATTGAAATGTCTTTATCATTAGTTCACTTGAATTTACCACAAGTACATACATTTACATTGACAACTTGAGAATATCCAAGTTTCTTACTTTAAAAAAATCACATTAATCTAGACTTTTGCTTTTAATGAAAAATGTACCCCTGAAAATATAAAGTTACGATTTTTTTCTTTTTACTCATCTTTTTTGCTTAAATTTCAAACATATAATCAGAATTTATTTGTAATCAGTCATATTTAAGCAAGTAAAGCCAATTCATAATTCACACCTGACCCAGGTATTAGCCCATTTCATTTAAAAAGAGATACCTGGAACAAATGGTAGAAAACATTTTTTTTCAAAAATTGGTTTAAAAAAAGAAAATAGCTCCATTACGAGAGGCATACAACAAATTAGCAAATCTTTTAAGTCAGATCACATGAATTTTAGCCACTGTCAGACCTCTGGAAAGTCACTGTACTCCTTTGGGCCCAATTTTCCTTTTCTTTAAAACGGGATTGGACAAGAAGACCTTTAAAGTCCTGTCTAAATATTATGTTCTGTGACTCTGTGGGTAATTTCTTAATGCTAACTCAACAAGTATTGAGTTTCCTTTATACATCTTCTTTTTCTCATGTAGGGATTGGGGCTTAAAAATCTTTTCAGGAAATAACTTGAGTGAAAAGAAGGGAATATAACGTGTTTCCCATTGTTTTTAAAATGCACAGATGGGAAAATTCAGGAAACGTAGTAGAATCTTTCACATTCTGGGTTTGTTTTTGTACCTATTTTGGCAGGATGGAAATGGTAGAATAAAGATGGTCTTGAAAGTAACTTATACTTAGATTCTTTTCTGATTTATCTCTGAGGCAGGTATTATTTGATAGTTCCAATAACCAAATAATTGACAACATTATCTGAACACTGTGCAGAAAAACTATCATAATATAACTGTGAGATTGTAGGATTTGCAGAGCTGAATGTGGGAAAGACCACGTTGGGCATGTCGTGCAAAGTTCTTTATACCTGCCAAAGTATAATTTTAAAAAATTAAAAACATGAGTCATGCAAATATAAAGTAAATATGTATTGTCGTGACCCGTTTCTTGGGGCCGAGGAATGAACACAGAGACAAAAAGACACAGACACACATAAAGATGGTACACGACTGCAGCCGCTACAAAGAGACACAGACACACAAAGACGGTATAAGACTGCAGCCACTACAAAGAGACACAGACACACAACTACAAAGAGACACAGACACACAAAGACGGTATAAGACTGCAGCCACTACAAAGAGACACAGACACACAAGGATGGTATAAGACTGCAGCCACTACAGAGAGACACAGACAAACAAGAACGGTATAAGACTGCAGCAAATTTCTTGCTGTAGTTTCTTTATTTATAACACAGCCTGTTTGGCAACTGTCCCACCGCAATTTCTTCGTTCCCACACTGTCCCAACTCAACACGTCCCTGTTCCTTGTTGTTTCGTCTCCGGTGAGCAGATGTTTGCATCTAAACTCTCTAGCCCCTCCTGTTTGCAGGCTTAGGGCGCCCTAGACTTGCATGCAAGGCCAAGGCATGTTCTTGAGAAAAACAACAAGGAATGTTTCCCAGACAAAGTGTCCTCTACATGTATCAAAGATTTTATTCAATTCATTAACTACTGAGGGAACAAGTAAAATAGTAAGGCTATTGTAAAAAGCATCTGAGGAGCTCTGTATTCATAGGCAATTGAATAATTGGTGGAGTAAGATTGCTAAGTTAGTTACAAACGGATTAATGTCCTATGCACCAGTAAACCCTAAAGTTTGGAATCATATCTTCTACCTGACAGAAATTATTTGTACCTCTACTGGACAAAAAACTATAAATTAATATGTAACTTCACTGAATCTGAGATATTTAATTCAATAGCAAATAGAATAATGGAGCAAGTACATTCCCCTAAGTACATAACCTTTGAATGGGTCTGTGTCCCCATATTACCTTGAAAGGGCATCACCTTCTTAAGGCCATTCATCTTTTGGTCTTATATTCAAGGTTTGGGTAACCTTTCTTAGCAGCCTTGCAGTATTTATTTCTTTTATTTATAAAGTTAGAGGCAAGGTATCTTCTCCCTGGAAAGTGCCATGATATGTGAAAGATATACATTTACCAAACATCTGTTTCTCTGTTATACCACTAGTGTATTAAATATGCTTCTTTCCCAGTAAAGTGTAGTGAACCACAGAACACAGTGTACACAGCGAAACTTCACAGAAGATTAAATTGGTAGAATATTAGATTTTGTGTTTTTTAGTATATTGTGAAGTATTTCTAATAATGTCAGTCAAATGTTCCTAGCTTAATATGCATAGTTGTACAACTATTAATATACAGTACATAATGTTTCTGATTAATGCATGATTTAATCTCTGATGAGAAATTGTTAGTCCTCTTTCCCTCAGCTTTTTTTCTTGAGTTCTATTTAACAGGCTTTTAAAAGGCAAAAGATTTATATGATCTGAAGAGAAACCAGAGTATTAACAGACTTTTTAAAATAGAGTAAATAGTAGTTAAATTTAGAAGGTTAACATTTTCCAAAAGGATATCTGTGTTGGTTTAGTGAGTTTATGGCTCCATTTTAAAGCTAGTTTTTTTTGTTGCTTTTAAAATAAATATCCTATTTTGGAATAACTTTTATTCCAAAATAAAAATAGTCTTACTATTATATAGAAAAGTTGAAAGGAGTGCACGGTTTTGTATCTTTCCCATCCAGTTTCCCCCATTGTTAACATCTTCCACGACAGTAGTACATTTGTCAAAACTAAGAACCTGATGTTAGTGCATTAATACTAACTAAATTCTAGAGTTTATTTGGATTTTACCAATTTTTCCATGAATATCTTCCTTTTCTAAGATCCAATTCAGGATACCACATAAAACTTAGTTGTCATGTTTTGCCAGTCTCTTCCAGTGTACGACAGTTTCTCAGTCTTTCCTTTTCGTGACCTGTAGAATGTACCCCAGTCTGGGTTTGTGTGATGTTTTTCTCATGTGAGGTTATAGGATACCACAGAGGTGAAGTGCTCTTATCACATCATATCATGGGGAGTGTGGTATCCATATGGTAATGCTAACCTTCACTACTTGGATAAGATAGTGTTTGCCAAGTTTCTCCACTGTGGAAATGGACTGTTTTTCTCTTTCCCTACTCTAGTCTTTGGAAATAAGTTACTAAGTCTAGTCTACCCTCGCTGGGGGGTAGGGGAGTGGGAGATGGAATTAAGCACCACCCCTGCAGAGAGAGTATTTGGAATTCTGTGTGGAAGATATGTTGCCTCTTCACCCTTATTTATTTTTTTATTTATATAATCATTCATACCAGAGTGGGCTTACGTGTATTTATTTTGTATTTTGGGTTATCATTTGATACCGTGTTACTTACTTTGTTGCTTGAATCATTTTAGTTCTAGTTATTGGGAACTCGTGCAGATTGACTCTTGTGTCCCTTTGACATGCCCCCATCCTTCAAGTACTTCCTTATTCTCTGGTAATGCAAGATGCCCCAAGTTTTGTTTGTTGTTTGAAATTTGTTTACCACCTTTATTTTTTTTTCTTCTTATTTTCGTAGTTTATGTACCTACATTGACAAATTATTATCACCCTAAAGTACATAGCTTACATTAGAGTTCACTCTTGGTGTTGTATGTTCTGAGTTTGATGACATGTATTTCACAATTATAGTATCATACAGAATAGTTTTTGCTGCCCTGAAAATCCTCTGTGTTCTGCTGATTCATCTCTCTCTCTCTCTCCTAACCCCTGGTAACCATTGCTTTTATTACTGTCTGCACAATTTTGCCTCTTCCAGAATGTCATGTGGTTGGAATCATAGACTACAGAGCCTTTTCAGATTATCTTCTTTTACTTAGTAGTGTGAATATGAATTTAAAGTTCTGTCAGGTCTTTTCATGACTTAATACTCGTTTCTTTCTGGCACTAAATAATATTCTGTTGTCTGGATATAACACAATTTATCCACTCACCTATTAAAGGACACATTGGTTGCTTCCAAGTTTTTGCATTTTCCCAGGGTTATTTTTTATTTTCCCTTTCCTAGCCCTAGAATAATCCATTTCTCCAAAGAGCCCTAGTTCCTTTTATTGGAAGATGATAGTTAGAAACCAAGATTTGGTCACTGGGTGTGTTTGCTCTGAGGGGTTATTGCTGCTAAGCCTCTCAGCAGACAGATTTTTTTTTTTTTTTTAATTTGAGAAAGCTAAGTGTTTTCATTGTATTCTGCCTGTAAATGTAATTTATAGGTGATAAGTTCATTCTGAGAGAATCAGAAACGCTCTAAATTATAAAACCTGCAATTAGGAAATGTCAAGTAATGAAATATTCCTTTTCAGTTAAAGTCAGAATTGGAGTAAGGCTCAGCCTAATATATTTGAAATAATTTTTTTTTTTTGAGACAAGAGTCTCGCTCTGTTGCCCAGGCTAGAGTACCGTGGCATCAGCCTAGCTCACAGCAACCTCAAATTCCTGGGCTCAAGCAATCCTCCTCCTGCCTCAGCCTCCTGAGTAGCTGGGACTGCAGACATGCGTCACCACGCCTGGCTGATGTTTTCTGTTTTTAGTTGTCCAGCTAATTTCCTTCTATTTTTAGTAGAGATGGGGTCTCGCTCTTGCTCAGGCTGGTCTTAAACTCCTGACCTCAAGCAATCCTCCCACCTCGGTCTCCCAGAGTGCTAGGATTACAGGCGTGAGCCACTGCACCTGGCTGGCAAACTCTAATTTTTATTTTCTCTTTTCTTGGTTTTGAAAGTACCTCAAGTGGGCGCCTCCCTTTGAATGCAGCTAACTGCTCGTCACTGCCATGCATGAACCTGGAACATACATTGTCCTTTAAATACGGATTCCAGAT